GTCCTCACATGACTTCCACCGACTTCATAAAAACATCAGTCAGCAGCCTCCGTATAGAAATAATGTGCGGTGAATTATTCTTAGGCTGGGTCATCCATAATAGAAAATCAGCCAGAGGTGGCCCCGTATTTCTTTCTGCTCCCTAAAGTGTCATAAATTGAAACTTTTAAAGCTCAGCATGAAGACAGCTTGTCGGCAGTGGGCCAGGGCCTACCCTGTGGAAGTCTTGGGGTGGGAAATTCCTGGTCTCACCCATCCAGATCCTATTAAAATCTAGACCTGCTTGACTTGTGGGTCTCTGGGTCACTGATCTCCCTCTACCTATCCCAGTGGAACAGGAAGGCTAAAATTCCTCCTTAAGATGGTCAGTGCCAAGGCCCTGCTTATCCTGACTGTAAACTTGGTCCATTCTTTTGGCCTCTGCCTCATTTTCTTTCTCTCTAAAATGGAATTAAAAATTCCCAATTCCCAGGGATGAAGGAGCTCACAACAGTTGTTACCATTTTGTGATATTTTCTCACTGCCAGACACTGTGTAAGCACTTTGCATGATTTCACCTGTGTATCCTGCAGGGATCCTATGATGGACCCATTCCCATTTTACAGAGGAGGAAACTGAGGCTTAGCCAGATCGTGTTGCTGGGAGAGGCAGACTCTCTCAGGTGTGGCTCTAGAGCCCAAGCTCTGAACCACACACATGATGAAATCTGGCACGTAGTGTTGATAATGCTGGTTTCCTTCCTCTCTCCTTTGGAATGCATGTGTTCATCTCTGGCAGGTTCCAGGAATGATGCATGTTTCTGTTATAAGTAAAATTTCAATGCTGCAAAAGAAACAGCACTTGAAGATAAATCCTCTCAGCAAGGCAGTTTATTTCTATAGAAGGGTGTGGCTCATGGATGGAGCAATGGTGGCTACATGTTTGGACAAGTGAGGAAAGGGGGTACTGATGCTGAGGGGGGTCACCCCTACTGCTGTGTCATTCTCCTGTTGGCTAGGTTAGACTGCACAAGCTAGACTAGTGCGGATGGGCTGTTTTAAAGAGAGGAGGGGTCTGAGCTGGAGTGGCAGGGTGCTTGGTTTGGCAGGAAGGATGATTATGCGTGGGTCAGAGCAGGAAGCCAGGGGGACCTAGGTCAAAGGAAGGTGACCGGAGCAGGTGACTAAAGCTTGGGACCAGGAGGAGTCAGGATGGAGCCAGGAGCCGGGGCGGGGAGCAGACATGAATGACTGATTAGAACCGGTGGAGAAGGTTGTTTGCTGGAACTACAAGGAGATTAAACTTTAAAATAAAGGACAAATAACTGAACATAATGACATATTGATTCTTTGAAGAGAAATTTAGAATTTGTTGTATCCAGTATTTCCACCACATTTGCTCAAACTCTGAGTTCCGACATTCACAGACTCCTAACTTAGTCCAGGCTCGCCAGGTGCTGCCTACGAGGTTTCTATCATAGCACCAACCCACTGAGCTGCTTTCTCTGCCACGCTGCTCTCTCTTTATTTTGATCCATTCTGTCTGTGCTGTCAGACCTTCCAGTGAGCGACTTTCTTTGAGGGGCAGTGAAGCTCAGTGGTTAAGAGCTTGAGCTCTGGCATTGGAACAAGGAGGCTCTCCACAGACCAGCTCCATGATAGTGAACAAGTCACTTCCCTTCTGTGTGTCTCAGAGTCCACCTTTATCAAAAGGTCCTGATGGTGGCACCTTTCTCTTAGAGGTGCTGTGAGGCTTTCATGAAGCAAGGCAGAGAAAGCACAGTGCTGTGAACACGGTCCCCAGACAACAGTAGCAGGTGGGGCTGCTAATGCCAAAACCATCAGGGCCAAGATAATCCCATCCCCAGCCCTGTATGAGCTGAGAAGGCCAGCAGCTTTCTCCACTGACTCTCTGTGTTCAGCTCTGTCTGGGGATAAGTTGCCCCTCTCCCTGCTTGCTCCAAGGGAAGCAGGGAAAGGAAAGAGCATTTCTGGGTCAGGCACCATTATGCTATCTGTAAAATGGGGATAAAAAACAGAGCCTCTTTTCTCCGGGGTCTCTGAGGACCAGTGGGATCATGGTGCTGAAACCCTATGCTGAAGTAGAGGCTGGGCAGATGGGAACTGTGTCACCGTGTTCTGATCTGCCCTGTTGCGTTATTTACAATGACTCTCTCTTGCCTCCTGGCTCCCCGCCCAGCTCCTTGGCCTGGCAGAGGGGCCCTGCGTGAGGCCTCCTCTTCCACCATTAGTTATCTGACATCATCTCCCTTGATGGCCCATCTGTTCCTGCCGCCCAGACCTTTTGTTGTTTGCATGTCCCGCTGTGCCGATTCTTCCATTTCTCTCCACCTCCACCCCTTCCACCCTGGTTAGAGCACCTCCACCGCCTCCTTCCTACAGGACCATGGCGGCCCCCTCACTGGCCGTCCTATTTCCAATCTGGTCCCACCCTCCCCACAGCAGCCAGAGGGAGATCATGCCACCTACCTCCTTAGAAACCATCCATGGCTTCCTGGCAGACTGAAATAAAAACTAAGCTTTGCAGCCCGGCTCACAAGCCTCAGTGATGGGACCCCTGTCCCTATCTTCAGCATCTCCTCTTCCTCTGCTTCTCTGTATAGCTGCTCAGCCGCACTAGTGAGCTTTCTGTTTCTCAGCACCACGGTTAGTTCCTGTCTCTGCCTCAGGGCCTTTGCACGTGCTATTGCTGCTGCCCAGGGCACTCTGCACATGGCCATCTCCTTTGCATCTTATTTTTCTTTGTTTTGTTTTTTGAGATGGAGTTTTGCTCTTGTTACCAAGGCTGGAGTGTAATGGCACGATCTCAGCTCATGGCAAGCTCTGCCTCCTGGATTCAAGCAATTATCCTGGCTCAGCCTCCCAAGTAGCTGGGATTACAGGCATGTGCCACCACATCTGGCTAATTTTTTTGTATTTTTAGTAGTGACAGGTTTCACCCTCTTGGTCAGGCTGGTCTTGAACTCCTGACCTCAGGTAATCCTCCCACCTCGGCCCCCCACAGTGCTGGGATTACAGGCGTGAGCCACTGCGACTGGCCCTTCTTTTGCATCTTTTAGGTTTTGTTTAAGTATTTCTCCTTCATGAGGCCTCTGACTTTTGCTCAAAAGAGGGGCTGGCTTTGCCCTGCCTGTCTTCAGGGGAGCCCTACCACCCACCTCCCAGCCATGGCAGAGGCAGTCGAGTCAGCTGCTGGAAAATAAGACCAGGCCTGATGTCTCACTTCCTCTGTTCATTACGCTCTATCAATGCCAATTACCTTCCCTTGCTCTACATCAGTTTTCTCAGTGTGTCTCAATCCCTCCCATTTGCCGAGTGAAATCGGCCCCCTAGCCCTCTTTTGCTGGGTCCAACTGCAGGAATACGTTGTTCTCAGGGGCTAGAAAAGGGGCTTTTGTGAGTTGTGGCCCATCCCTCTCTAAGCCCTGAGTGTTTACCTTAGGTGATTCCTAAGAGTGTTTTCTGTTCAGAGATACAGAAAAAGGGGTAAGAGGGACAATGGGACTTATTGTAGACCCACTAGGTGTTCAGCACTCTGAATGTGCAGGCATCCTACTGGGAGCTAAGCATTATAAATGAGCCGAGTTAGGCCAGGTGCAGTGACTCACGCCTGTAATCCCAGCATTTTAGAAAGCTGAGACGGGCAGATCACAAGGTCAGGAGTTCAAGATCAGCCTGGCCAAATTGGTGAAATCCCTACCTCTACTTTTAGTAGAATACAAAAATTAGCCTGGCATGGTGGCACGTGCCTGTAGTCCCAGCTCCTTGGGAGGCTGAGGCAGGAGAATCGCTGGAACCAGCTCCTTGGGAGGCAGAGGTTGCAGTGAGCCAAAATCATGCCACTGCATTCTAGCCTGGGTGACAGAGCGAGACCCTGTCTCAAAAAAATAAATAAAAATAAAAATGAGCTAGTTAGAGCTCAGAAGAGGCAGCTGCCAATTGCAGAATGGATTTAGGGTGTGTACACAAATATGGGTTTCTCCAGTGGGGCATGTCTGTCACCTGCGGCCATGTACATAAGCAATTGGACTTATTTTGATGACTCCACTTTTCTAGGATAAGTGGCCTACTGTGTGCAGCTGGGAGGAAAAATCAGAAAGAAAAGCGTGAGAAAGAGAAGCTTTATTTAAGTCAGTGGCTCTTAGCCTTCGAGGATCTAGTGAGAGCTGTGAACCCAGGAAAATGCTAACTGCTCACATGGTATTTTGCTTGCCATTTTAAAGGGGGTCTGTGGGCCCACTTTTAACCCTGAACCCTGGTTAAGAAACTTCCACTTGGCTCGTTCCCGTGGGCCTTCAAGGCACCTCTTCCAGGAAGCCTCCCTCAATTTTTATCCTGCATTTCCACCGTGCTGGTGTCCCCCCTTCCCTGTACTGCACAAAGAGGTTGGCATTAGCTGTTCCTTCCTGTCTCCTACTGAGAGGGCAGGGGCCAGCTTGAGTGTTCCGTGTATGTCCAGTGCCTGGCACTCAGTGGGCGTCATCAAGGATTTGCTGAATGGGACTGTGGAATAGCTCCTGGCAACGCAGCAGGGGTTATATTTTGAGTGGGCTCAGAACCTGGCTGCCTCAAATGCAAATCTTTTTGCTTTCCCCCAGGTGTGGGTTGATGAATCATTGTGAAGCCATGAGGTCACCTGTAAATTATTCCCTTGCTTGGGAGGGGCTGGGCTGAGCTAGAAGGAAAAAACATTCAAGGAGGCAGCTTCATGAAGAGGCTTCTCCCCTTCCCTCCCCACTCCTCCCCTCCCCTCCCCTCTCCTCCCCTCCCCTCCCCTCTCCTCCCCTCCCCTCCCCTCTCCTCCCCTCCCTTTCCCTTCCCTCCCCTCTCCTCCCCTCCCTTTCCCTTCCCTCCCCTCTCCTCCCCTCCCCTCCCCTCCCTTTCCCTTCCCTCCCCTCTCTCTCCCCTCTCCTCCTTTCCCCTCCCCTCCCCTCCCCTCTTCTCTCCTTTCCTCCCTTCCTTATATTTTCTTCTCTTTTCTTTACCTCTTGCCTGGTCCAGCTGGAGCATAGTGAAGCCAAGTGTGAGGAGGCCTTGAAGACCCAGAAGGTGCTCACAGCAGACCTGGAGAGCATGCACAGCGAGCTGGAGAACATGACACGGAACAAAAGCCTGGTACCTGTCCCTTCCTGCAGCTACAGGGACCTAGGCCAGCATAGGCCTCTGGGAGCTAGTGTGGGCCTAGTGTGCACTGAGCACTATAGGAAGTACAAAGACATTTATTGTAAACCTACTGGGTACCTTCTTGGAGGTACAGGCATCTATGGTAGGCCTATTGTGTGCTCAGTTCTATAAGAGGGACAAGGGGACTTATTGTAGACCTATTAGGTGCTCAGTGTTCTGAACAGGCATCCGACTGTAAGCTGAGCATTATGAAGATATCAGAGCATAGATGAGGCTCAGCTGCATGCTCCCGTCTTCAACGAAAAGCCAGGAAGTCTGTCGTGGACATAGTGGGTGCTCAGTGCTGTGAACGTGCAGGAAGTCTGTGGTGGACATGTCGGGTGCTCAGTGCTGTGAACGTGCGGGAAGTCTGTGGTGGACATGTCGGGTGCTCAGTGCTGTGAACGTGCAGGAAGTCTGTCGTGGACATGGTGGGTGCTCAGTGCTGTGAACGTGCAGGAAGTCTGGTCGACATGTCGGGTGCTCAGTGCTGTGAACGTGCGGGAAGTCTGTGGTGGACATGTCGGGTGCTCAGTGCTGTGAACGTGCAGGAAGTCTGTGGTGGACATGTCGGGTGCTCAGTGCTGTGAACGTGCAGGAAGTCTGTCGTGGACATGGTGGGTGCTCAGTGCTGTGAACGTGCAGGAAGTCTGTCATGGACATGTCGGGTGCTCAGTGCTGTGAACGTGCGGGAAGTCTGTCGTGGACATGTCGGGTGCTCAGTGCTGTGAAAGTGCAGGAAGTCTGTCGTGGACATGTCGGGTGCTCAGTGCTGTGAACGTGCAGGAAGTCTGTGGTCGACGTGTCGGGTGCTCAGTGCTGTGAACGTGCGGGAAGTCTGTCGTGGACATGGTGGGTGCTCAGTGCTGTGACCGTGCAGGAAGTCTGTCGTGGACGTGTTGGGTGCTCAGTGCTGTGAACGTGCAGGAAGTCTGTGGTTGACGTGTTGGGTGCTCAGTGCTGTGAACGTGCAGGAAGTCTGTGGTTGACGTGTTGGGTGCTCAGTGCTGTGAACGTGCAGGAAGTCTGTCGTGGACGTGTTGGGTGCTCAGTGCTGTGAACGTGCAGGAAGTCTGTCGTGGACGTGTTGGGTGCTCAGTGCTGTGAACGTGCGGGAAGTCTGTCATGGACATGGTGGGTGCTCAGTGCTGTGAACGTGCGGGAAGTCTGTCGTGGACATGGTGGGTGCTCAGTGCTGTGAACGTGCGGGAAGTCTGTCGTGGACATGGTGGGTGCTCAGTGCTGTGAACGTGCGGAAAGTCTGTGGTCGACATGGTGGGTGCTCAGTGCTGTGAACGTGCGGGAAGTCTGTCGTGGACATGGTGGGTGCTCAGTGCTGTGAACGTGCAGGAAGTCTGTGGTCGACGTGTTGGGTGCTCAGTGCTGTGAACGTGCAGGAAGTCTGTGGTCGACGTGTTGGGTGCTCAGTGCTGTGAACGTGCAGGAAGTCTGTCGTGGACGTGTTGGGTGCTCAGTGCTGTGAACGTGAAGGAAGTCTGTCGTGGACGTGTTGGGTGCTCAGTGCTGTGAACGTGCGGGAAGTCTGTCGTGGACGTGTTGGGTGCTCAGTGCTGTGAACGTGCGGGAAGTCTGTCGTGGACGTGTTGGGTGCTCAGTGCTGTGAACGTGCGGGAAGTCTGTCGTGGACGTGTTGGGTGCTCAGTGCTGTGAACGTGCGGGAAGTCTGTCGTGGACATGGTGGGTGCTCAGTGCTGTGAACGTGCGGGAAGTCTGTCGTGGACATGGTGGGTGCTCAGTGCTGTGAACGTGCGGGAAGTCTGTCGTGGACATGGTGGGTGCTCAGTGCTGTGAACGTGCGGGAAGTCTGTCGTGGACATGGTGGGTGCTCAGTGCTGTGAACGTGTGGGAAGTCTGTCGTGGACATGGTGGGTGCTCAGTGCTGTGAACATGCGGGAAGTCTGTCGTGGGCATGTTGGGTGCTCAGTGCTGTGAACGTGCAGGAAGTCTGAGGTGGACATGTCGGGTGCTCAGTGCTGTGAACGTGCAGGAAGTCTGTCATGGACATGTTGGGTGCTCAATGCTGTGAATGGGCGTCTGATGTGAGCCTGTTATTTGCTCAGTACCCAACGTGGAAACACAACTGCGTATTGTGTGCCCACCCTGCTCGCCACTCTAAGTGCTTCTCAGGCATCTGCTCTGGTCCTACTGTATGCTCATGACCATACAGAGATGGAACATTTCCTTATTGTGGGGCTACCACATGCCCTCTCTAGTAAATGGAGACAAGGGCATCTCTTGGCCTGCTTAGGCTCATTACCAGAAGATTCAGCCGTATATTATGGAACTATTCTGTGCTCACCCCTGAATGGAGACACATGGACGTATATTGTCAATGTATTATTTTGGTGAAAATTTGATGCAGGTTTCTAAGTCCCCTGTCTGGGTGTATGGGGTTGGCTTAAATGTACTGTACTCAATGTATAAAACCTAAAGTTTAAGTGTAGTATTTATGGGCACATGTTTATCTCAGACTCCCTGTGGGCCTTTTTGCCCCTTATTTTGTTGGAATTTGCCTACAAGCATTCATATACACACACACGTGCACATATGTGTACATGGGAATGAATGTACATATTCACATGTAATCACCAGGCACACATACAAAATAAATGCCCTCCTCGTAGGTAACTCATGCCTCCAAGTTTATTCATCCAGCCAATACATATTTATTAAGCACCTGCTATAGGACAGGCCTGGTGCTTGCTGCTAGGTTATATCTGTGAACAGAACAAAGTCTCTGTTCTCAGGGAGAGTACAGGGGTTTGCATTTTCATGTATGTACTACGCACATTCAAAGTATGCACACATAGATTCCCAAGTGGGATTGCACAGACATAAATTCATACACACATACACCCTGATTCATAGTCACATGCAATGCCTGGTATATATAAACACACACCCACACACACCACTGCCACTACCAGGCTGTTATACCTACCATATACATTGGTAACCACAGCCATTCTTAAACACAGATGGTCACTCACCTCACACACTGATAGGCAAGCCCCTCTTTGCTCTTCCTCTGGCCCCTGCTGCCCATCCCTCGCCCTCCCACCTCGCCTTGACCAGTGACTGCCTCCCCCAGGTGGATGAGCAGCTGTACAGGCTGCAGTTTGAGAAGGCGGACCTCTTGAAGCGCATCGATGAGGACCAGGATGACCTGAATGAGCTGATGCAGAAGCACAAGGACCTCATTGCCCAGGTAGTGAATGGGACTTTGGCAGGAGAATCTCAGGGACTTGGGGTGGGGTGAATGGGGAATGTTGAGAGGGTGATGTGGTTGGACTACTCCCTGGTCTTAACATCTTGGAGGGATAAGTGCACAGAGATAGATAGGAATTGTAAATTTCCTGTGGTCCTAAGGGAGGACAATGTCACCTTCAAATGGTGTGTGCATTTCTGGAGGATATGTCCACCAGGAAAGATTTGGCTTTATTCATGCATCTGTCTGTCCATCCACCCACCCATCAACCATTCATCTGCTCATCAGTTCACCATTCACTTATCCACCCATCTACTCCCTCACTCCCTCACTCATCCATCTATCCATCATCATTCATCTATTCATCATCCATCCATCCATCCATCCATCCATCCATCCATCCATCCAATCATCCTCTCATCCACCCAACCACCCATCCATCTATCCATCCAACCATCTATCCATTCATCCATCCATCCATCCATCCAATCATCCTCTCATCCACCCAACCACCCATCCATCTATCCATCCAACCATCTATCCATTCATCCATCCGTCTTTCCAATCATTAATCAATCCACACAGCCATCCATTCATTCAACCATTCATTTATCCATTTATCAATTCATCCATCCTATCACTCACTTACTCATTTATTCACCTATCCAACTACCATCTTCCTCTTCTTTTCTTTTTTCCTTCCTTCCTTCTTTTTCTTTCTTTCTTTCCCCCCTTTCTTTTCCTATCTTTCTATCTATATCTATTTATTCAATATTTACTAAACCCCTGCTATGTAGACACTGTGAAAAATGCCAAGTATATTGTGGTGGTGAAAAGCACATCCCATTTCCACCCTCATGCACCTCACCGTTTAGTGGGCTGGGAAGACCTTATCATATGGTCACCAGAGCAGGGGGGAGACTTGCAAATTGAGCCCGGAGTCCAAAAAGGAAATGAACAAAATTCTGCAAATCCTGACCTAGGTTGGGAATCAGGAAAGGTTTCTCAGAGTAGGTGTCACTTGGATGGAGACGTGAACAAAGAGCAGAAGTTACTTAGATTGGATTGGGGGTGCATTCCAAGCAGAGGAAATAGCACATGCGAAGGGCCTATCATGGTACCTTGGAGGGACTGAAAGGAGGCCAGTGAGGAGAATGTAGCACAAGACAAGCCCAGTGAAAGAAAAGAATCAGATTAGGGTCTTAGAGGCTGTGATGAGATTGGGTTTTATTTTATGGTTGAAGGGCATCAATTGGCAAGCTTCTTGGGGCAAGAGCAGTTGGAGAGGACCAGCCAGCACGCCACCCCAGTCAGCCAGCTCCATAATGCCAGGAATCTCCTCTACCTTGTCCAATGCTGAATTCAGAGCCAAAAAGAGTGTCTGGCCTCGAGGTGCTCAGTAAATCACTATTGAATAAATGAAACTGAACTTGTCCAGGGGAAAGACAACTCCAACCTGACAGATGGAGTGAGGATGAGGAGGAGAGGATGGATGGGCTTGGGAGACAGTAAGGAGGCATGAGGGCAGCATGGGTGAAATAGAAGCTTTGGGGCGAAGCTGAGGGGTGTGGTGTGGAACCCCTCATAGATCTCCACATAATGACTGCATAATGGGGAGGACAGCTCCCTCCAGGAGCAATGAGTGTCTTTCTTGCCATATACCTTCCACAGGAGATCCAGGATCAAATACCTGCCACACTCTGAACGCATCTGACAGAGGCTGGATCTAAAGGGACTTCTGCTAGACATAGAATAATAATAACAAAATAATTGATTATATCACCCACATGGTAACAACCACCACAAAAATAGTATCTGTCACTGTCTACACTTGCGAATCACACTAATTTTTATGTTTTGAGATGGAGTGTCTCTCTGCATGCAGCCCAGGCTGGAGTGCAGTGGCACGATCTCAGCTCACTGCAACTTCTGCCTCCTGGGTCCCGGTTCAAGCAATTCTCCTGCCTCAGCCTCCCAAGTAGCTGGGATTACAGACACAAGCCACCATGCCCAGCTAATTTTTGTATTTTTTTTAGTAAAGACGGAGCTTCCCCATGTTGGCTGATCTAGTCTTGAACTTCTGACCTAGTGATTGGCCTGGCTCGGCCTCCCAAAGTACTGGGATTACAGGCCTGAGCCACTGAATCCAGCTGAATCACACTAATTTTTGCCCAAAAGACAGGTTTATTTGTTCAGTTACAAAGGCAGTATATGTGTATGCCCATAATAAACAATTTAAATAATAAAGACATAAGAAATAGAAAGTAAAGAGGTCCTTCTACCCTCTAGAATTCCTCTTATCAGAGGTAATGAAGTTCAACAGTTGGTTCTATTTTTTTTTTTTTTTTTTTGAGACAGAGTCTTACTCTGTCACCCAGGCTGGAGTGCAATGGTGTGATCTGGTATTACTGCAACCTCTGCCTCTCAGGTTCCAGCAATTCCCCTGCCTCAGCCTCCTGAGTAGCTGGGATTACAGGCATATGCCACCACACCTGGCTAATTTTTGTATTTTTAGTAGAGATGGGGTTTCACCATGTTGGTCAGGCTGGTCTCCCACTCCTGACCTCAGGTGATCTGCCTACATCGGCCTTTCAAAATGCTGGAATTGCAGGTGTGAGCCACTGTGCCTGGCAGGTTTTATTTTTTTAAAAAGCCTTTCCTCTCCACTGCTTCATTTAGTCTCTGAACAAACCCAGTACTGAAACGCTGATCGGAGACTATCAGCCCATTTTAGAGATGCAGAGATTGAGGTGCAGAGAGGCTCTGTAGCTTGCTGAGGGCAGGAACCAGGTCTAGAACCCCAGTAACCCGCCCCTCCAAGTTGCTCTCATCCCTCGGAATCTGGTCCTAGTGCCATGACCAGCCCACTTCTGTCTGGGTTCTCAAGGATGTATAATAAAATGCTGGACCGCTGACCAAATCCAGGGGCTTATATAATTGGCGTGACTCAGCGAACATTGAAATGAAAGATGTTGAGGAGGATGTGAGAGGTAATTTTTGGGAAACGGCTATTATCATAGAAGCTCTGAGAGATGTAGACATCTGTGGGTGGGGAAAGTAGGGATTTTCAGGGGTGGTTTCCCAGCAAGGCTTATGGTCTCGGGGTGATATATATATATATTTTTGTCTTACCAGTCTGCTGCTGATATCGGGCAGATCCAAGAACTTCAGCTGCAGCTGGAGGAAGCCAAGAAGGAGAAGCAGAAGCTTCAAGAACAAGTACGCTCAGAGCCATCCTGTACTTGTGCTTGTCACAGTTCTCTTAGAGGGACAGAACTAATAGGAGATCTGTCTGTCTGTCTGTCTGTCTATCTGTCTATATGTATATATGAGTTTATTATTTATTTATTTTTGAGATGAAGTCTCACTCTGTCACCCAGGCTGGAGTGCAGTGGTACGATCTCGGCTCACTGCAACCTCCACCTCCCCAATTCAAGTGATTCTCCTACCTCAGCCTCCCGAGCAGCTGGGATTACAGGTGCCCACCACCACGCCCAGCTAATTTTTGTATTTTTAGTAGAGATGGGTTCCACCATTGTTGGCCAGGCTGGTCTCGAACTCCTGACCTTGGGTGATCTGCCCTCCTCAGCCTCCCAAAGTGCCGGGATTATAGGTGTGAGCCACCAGGCCTGGCCGGGGAATTTGTTAAGTATTAACTTACGTGATCACGAAGTCCCACAGTAGGCTGTCTGCAAGCTGAGGAGCAAGGATAGCCAATCTGAGTCCCCAAACTGAAGAACTTGGAGTCCGATGTTCGAGGGCAGAAAGCATCCAGCACAGGAGAAAGATGTAGGCTGGGAGGCTAAGGCCCATCTCTCTTCACATTTTCAGCCTGCCTTATATTGGCTGGAAGCTGATTAGATGGTACCCACCAGATTAAGAGTGGATCCGCCTTCCCCAGCCCACTGACTCAAATGTTACTCTCTTTTGGCAACGACCTCACAGACACACCCAGGATCAATACTTTGCATCCTTCAACTGAGTCGAGTTGACAGTCAGTATTAACCATCACAGGGTGGAAGAGAGGGATTCTCCCTGGGCGCACACTTACACTTTGGACCCTGGAAACTGTTTCTTTCATTCTATTATTCGTTAATTCATCCAAATACTCAATTCCAGCTGTGTGCCAGGTGAATTAAGACCAGTCCCATTAGAAAGACAGACACATGCACACACACTCACACTCATTTACTCTTGCCTGTGCTCGTTGAATCCAGGCATAACCCATGTACTGAGACTCAGCCTTTCGGTGTAGAATTTTCTCCCTCTGAGAAAAGGCTCCAAGAACAGAGGGATGGTCTGTGCTAGGGGGACCATGATCTTTTCTGAAATCTTCCTTTGAAGCCGGGGTTCCTGCAAACATCTGTGGCTTTCCGTTGTGACCCAGAAGGATGCTGTTATCCATGAAATTTTCAAAGCTCTTCTAGAACTGTTGCATGTGCCTGCTTAAAGTGGGCGGGACCAGGTCTCAAGCAGTTTTCTGTGGGTGCTGAGTGACAACATGCACAACCAATGAAATAGCGGCAGTGGCCACTTGCTGGGTGCTTATTATGCGCCAGTCACTAATCTCCTTCAGTCCTCACAAGAAAAATGGAGAAACCGAGGCTCAAGGAAAGGAACTGACTTTCCCAGACTCACACACCAGGCGCAAGCCTGGCTCCCAAACCCACCCTGGCTTGCATCTTTTGATGGGATAGCTTGTTGCCCACAGACTAGCTTTGCTCTTTGATCAGAGCAGGGAAGGAGGGGAGGGAAGTACTGATGAAAAGTCTTGTTTTGAATTCTGAACACATAAGAAGCATCACCTCCCATCACCTGAGACCCAGGATCAGGGTCTGGTATGAGGGTCCAGTGAGGGTCCCAAGATTGAGACCCGGCAATTCTTGCCTGTGCAGACATGCAGCATACCTGAGCAGAGAAGAAGGTGGTGTGAATAGCTCCCCCCACCCTCCCAGGCTGGGTCCTGCCCATGTCTCTGTCCTGGTATCAGGGACAGCAGATGGCCAATAGACTTCTCTCTTGTACCCACAGCTGCAGGTGGCTCAGATGCGCATTGAGTACCTGGAGCAGTCCACCGTGGACCGAGCCATCGTCAGCAGGCAGGAGGCAGTCATCTGTGACCTGGAGAATAAGACGGAGTTCCAGAAGGTGCAGATTAAGAGATTTGAGGTACATAATGAAACATCCATAATGCTTGTGCCAAGAGCAGGGAGAGTTTTTGTGTAAGCTTCATTCATCCTTCTACTACTCATCTACTCCTCACATGCCTTTATCTAGATACACATTACTCACCCACTTCTCACCCAAACTCCCTCCCTCCTTCCATTATACATCCCTCAAGGCACCTACCATTTACCTATCCATCCTCATGTACGTCCCTCCGTCTCCTTCCACCCTCATGGGTCCATTCATCCATCCTCCCTTCCATATGTTCCTCCTTTTCCCTTCACTTTTTCTTCTCTTCCTCTATTATTTTTTCTTCAGCCCTCAACCCCTCCGTCTGCCCATTCTTTTATGGATTGATCCAGTTCTTCCTATCTCCATCCATCTACTCAACCACTTACATGCCCAACGCTCATCTTGAACAGAAATTTATTTTGCACTCAGTGTGTGCTAGGCCCTGTTTTAGGTGCACAGAAGGCAGATGTATGACCCAGACCTGCTTTCAGAAGCATATATGTTTGTAAGCCATGTGGGTAAGATATGTACATAAATATCTGTGATATGGAGAAAGGGCTGTGATGTTTAGGGGATAGAGATCTTTTTAAGACTCAAGAAGCAGGAAGGCTTCTTGGAGGAGATGGCATTAATGCTGAACCTTGAAGGACAGGTAAGACTTGGATGGGCTGGAGCGGGGTTGGTGATTACATTCCCATTGCCCTTGAGCTGGGAACACAGGTGTCTACTTCTTCAGCTCTGTAGGCCAATGACATGGGACACTTACAGAAGACGTCACCATTGTCAAAATCCTTTCCCATCAGCCGCTCCACTTGATGTTTGATATAGTCCTGTGAGGCTGGTAGGATAAGCCTTATCTGATGAGAAGATGACCCCAGAGAGGTCAAGTGACTTGCTCAAGACAAGGCCAGGCAGAGTATGGGCTAAGGGAGATTGACATCCGACCTTCGCTTCATCCTGGTTTCAGGTTCCAACTTCTCTGCAGCCAGCTGGCTTCGCTGCAGTAAGACTGTGTCTAGACAGCTGGGAGGCTGCATTCCTCATTCTGAAACATCTCCCCCTGATCTCCCTAGGGGCGTTTGGTCTCCAGTAAGGCTGCTGTGGATGAAGAACAGAGAGAGGTTCTTTGCTTTGACCCTCAGTGTTTCCCGGAAACTGCTCCAGGGATCCCGCGGGGCCTGAGTGTCTCTGTAGATCACCATGAAACTTTGATCTACTATATTTTAAATGATTACATATGTAAAGTTGGGCTATATCACATGCCATTTTAAAACCTGGTTCCAGCCTAGGGAAATGAGAGCACAGGAGAAAAGAAATGAGTGTAGTGGAACTTCAAATGGCAAGATTCTATCTCCAAATGCAATTTTTCCCTCTGCCACCATTATTTGAATTTAGTAGAATCCTGGGTCCTGGAGGTGTAGAGATGGGGTACCTCAAAGACACAGTTTGAGAACTCCTTCCACTCTTCCTGCTGTTCTTGGAATTGTTGCTGAACTTCATATGAGAGGTGAACCAAATAGGAAAGCATTTCGTTTAGGTTAGGGTTCAATGTCTGATCTGGAGGCTGTTATCCCAGCTGCACTGCCCGCAGCTGCAGAAGAAGGACTTCAGAGTCCTTAGCAAGGGGCTTGAAATATTCATGTGGGCCCAGTCTTATGTCAACACTGGAGTATTTGCTCATCAGGATCGATTGGCTCCAGGCTTGTTGGCCGACTAATGAATTCTGCAGAACAGTCCTTGGGTTTGTTTTCTGTGGCACTCGTGAAGGCCAAAGCACTTTTCTCTCTGTTGTTTCATTGTGTCCTCAAGGAGTCCCCATCCCCTCTGCCACCAGGAAAGGAAAAGTGTCATAAAAGAGTAAGGCTGAAGCTCGTGAGAGATTACCTGAACACCCTCAGTTTGTAAATCAGGAAACAAAACCCATGTGGGGTGAAAGTTTTTGACCTCAGCATTGCACCAGCCCCTTGGGATAAATAGGAGCTGTTAAAAAAATTTAATAATTCCAAACCCTTATCTGGCACATCCTGTGTGCCAGGCACCCAAGCCTTCTGCATACCAAGGAATTAGATTCTGACAGTGTTCCTGGGACACAGGTGTTATCATCATCCTTGTCTCTCAGAGAGACTCAATAACCTGCCCAAGGTCACACAGCCAGGAAGAGCTAGAGGTAGGGTTTGAACGCAGAGCGTCTTGGGGTGAGGGTTCTCATAAATATGCTACACTGTCTCTCAGAATAGCCATTATCTTCTCTTTTATCCCCCAAGATGAGTCTCTTTCTGTTGCCCAGACTAGAGTGCAGTGGCGACGTCTCGGCTCACTGCAACTTCTGCCTCCCAGGTTTAATAGGTTCTGGTGCCTCAGCCTCTCAAGTAGCTGGGTTTACAGGTGCACGCCACCATGCCTGGCTACTTTTTGCGTTTTTAGTAGAGACAGGTTTTTGCCATGTTAGCCAGGCTGGTCTCTAACTCCTGACCTCAGGTGATCCGCCTGCCTCGGCCTCCTGAAGTGCTGGGATTACAGGCCTGAGCACTGCACCCGGCCATCATTTTTGTATGTTGTTAAATTCTTCATTTTTGTAGCAGACATCAGTATTCTCATCCTGATTATAAGAACACAGGAAACTTGGCAAAGGATTTCTCTTCCTGAGGCTCCCTGTTTCATACCCCTGGCCTCTAACTCCAAGGTGGGCCTGTGTCTCTGCCCCTCCCAGGTCCTGGTGATCCGGCTTCGGGACAGCCTGATCAAGATGGGGGAAGAGCTTTCTCAGGCGGCCACATCTGAGTCCCAGCAGCGGGAGAGCAGTCACTACTACCAGCGGCGCCTGGAGGAGCTGAAGGCCGACATGGAAGAGTTGATGCAGCGGGAGGCTGAGGCCAGCCGGCGGTGCATGGAGCTGGTGAGTCCTGTCCCCATCATGGGCTTTTAGCGATTGAGGATTTGCAATGGGGTACAGCCCCCCTTTCTTAAGACTTCTGCGTGGGAGACTCATGGGCTTGCCTCCTGGGCCTCTGGGGTGTGTCGGAAGCCAGGAGAAGCCAGAAGAGTGGGCTGAGACAACGCTGTCATTGGCTGCAAATCCTGGGGGTAGGCCCAAGGTGGACCAATGGCATTCCCTGATGCTGGATGGCCACCAAGTTCATTTACATATCAGGTTCCAGACTTTGTTTTCTTGCTCCATTCATTCCACTCCAATGGCAGGATGGCCTCATACAAAAGAGGAAAGAACCAGTGTTTATGAACTGCCTCTCTTTCACTGGGTCTCAACATCCATAATATCCTGTAATCCTCATGTCAGCCCTGTGAAGTCAGAATCCTTGCCCCCATTTCACAGATGAGGAAACCAAGCCTTCTGAAAGGGGAGGTGACTAGTCTAACGGCACATTTAGTAAACATAGAGCTGTTTCTGGGCTCTTAATAGCAACAACAAAAGTGAAAAATACAAATGATGATTCAAGCCACCATGTGTGAAGTGTTTGCCACCGACTAGGTTCTGAAGGAAACATTTCTCATGTAAATTCTTGTTTCAGAACCCTGAGGTAAGTGCTATCTTGATGTCCATTATATGATGCACAGAGATACCATCTTGCCAGATCGAGGTCCCAAATGGTACATTTGCTTGCCCAGAGTCACACAGGACTAAGAATTTGCACCCAGGGCTGCCTGACAATGTAGTCTCTGCTTTTTGTCACCAATTCATACTTTGCCTCCAGGATGGTCCGAGAAACACTATTTTTTTCTGGAGGCAGAGTCTTGCACTGTTGCCCAGTCTGGAGTGCAGTGGCATGATCTCAGCTCACTGTAACCTCCACCTCCCAGATTCAAGCAATTCTTGTGCCTCAGCCTCCTGAGTAGCTGGGACTACAGGCATGAGCCACCACATCTGGTTAATTTTTTGTATTTTACTAGAGACAGGGTTCCACTGTGTTGCCTAGGCTGGTCTCAAACTCCTGAGCTCAGATAATCTGCCCACCTCGGCCTCCCAAAGTGCTAGGATTACAACTGTGAGCCACTGCGCCCAGCCCCAAGGAACATTTTAAAATTTGTTTCCTGTCTAATGGGAAGGCTTCTCCATCATTCAGAGTGTTGTTCTAAGAAGCTTCTGCACAGGTCACAGAACATCTAAGAGTCTCTTCCACCTTTTCTCCATGAGGTCACACATCACTAAGGTTTCAGATTTCTGATTCCGTGACCTGGGGGTTTCTGGCACCCCCATTCTCTACCATCACACAGCCTTACAGAGACACCCACAGAATGCCAATGCCTGGCCCAGAGGTCTCTAAATTACACTCGCTTTCTCTTTCCTGCATTGTTCACTCTGCTGTTGTGAGAGGTCTCACCAACTTGTTCTTCCTACAGCAAATATGTTAATATGTCTTGGGCTACTGTCTCTCACAGCCACTGTCATCCCCATCAGCTTTGCCCCTGACAGGCCGGCTGCCTGGCTCTTCTGTAAGGGGGCGGGAAGGCGCCACACAGAGACGGAGGTTCCCAGACAAGGTCCAGGCCTTCTGACTGGCAGTTCCTCCACGCCCACGCCCAGAGCCCTGGGAGAGAGAAAGGCTCTTTCCTGCAATTGACAGGATAACTTGCTCATTAACCAGCCCCGTTTCTCATGCAGCCGAGTGTCCCTCCTGCACGCTCTGGCTGGAAGGAGAGAACATCCGCTGCCTTTCTCCTCTGATGTCTTCTTTAGCCAGGCACTCAGGCATTCTGGACAGATCAAATAGTGATTTTCTTCCTCTCTGTCCCTTGATCTCTTATTCTCTGTCTTTTCTCTCTTTTTCCTCTCCCTGTCCCCATTCCTGGGGCCATATTCTGATCTTGAAAGGCCCTGGAATACTGAGAAGATTATAGCATAGCCCCTGCATAGGAATCATAGTGTAGCCCCCACACAGGAATCAAAATGGACACAACACAAAGCCTTCGAGAGCTTGCATGCCTGATGAAATTAGACCTGCGTCTTTCTCCCATCTCCGATGGTGAGATTCTGGAAAAGTTTATCGAAGCTCAACTTGTCTCTTTAGTTTGGTGGGTGTAGTTGCGAGGAGTGTTCATTTCCTAAAATTGTCAGAGAAATTATCAAAAGTGCATAGCTTAAAACAACGGAGATTCATTCTCTCCCAGTTCTGGAGGCTGAAGTCTGAAGTCAGGTGTGAGCAGAGCTGCGCTTTCTCTGAAGACTCTGGAAGGGCATCCTTCCTTGTCTCTTCCAGCGTCTGGTGGCTCTGGTGCCCCTTGGTTTGTGGTTATATCCCTTCAGTCCCAGCCTCAGTGATGGCTTTCTTCTCCGTGGATGTGTGTCCAGAGGAAAGAACCCCCCTATCTTTTTCTTATAAGGACAACTGTAATTAGATTCAGGGCTCACTCTAAATCCGTGTTGATCTCACTTTCAGATCCTTACTTTAATCATATCACAAACCCTTTTTCTTTTTTCATTTTTTTTTTCTGAGACAGAGTCTTGCTCTGTCGCCACGCTGGAGTGCAGTGGCACAATCTCAGCTCACTGCAACCTCTGCCTCCCAGGTTCAAGCAATTCTCCTGCCTCAGCCTCCTGAGTAGCTGGGACTACAGGCACGCACCACCATGCCTGGCTAATTTTTATATTTTTAGTAGAGGTGGGGTTTCATCACGTTGGCCAGGCTGGTCTCAAACTCCTGACCTCAGGTGATCCACCCGCCTCAGCCTCCCAAAATGCTGACATTACAGGCGTGAGCCACCACGCCCAGCCTACAAACCCTTTTTCTAAATGAGATCACATTCACAAATCTCAGGTGGACTTGTCTTTTGGGAGGCTACCCTCCAAGCCACTGATGATTAATGATCAGACCTGTTGATTTTACCCTATTTAGGTATTTTACAAATTCACCCCTCCTGACCCATTCTTGCTTCTGCTGTCTTTCTTTAAGCATCATCCCCTCCACTCTGGGCTTCTCTAGTGACTTCTCACTCGTTTCCCCACTTTCGCTCCAGTCTTGCTCCTCCCTGCAGGAGATCTTTCAAGAAGGAGCATAGCTCACTGTGTTATTTCTGTGCTAAGAAATCTTCTTTGGGGGCGGATGTGTTGGCTCATGCCTTATAATCCTAGCACTTTGGGAGGATGAATGAGAGGATCACTTCAGGCCAGGAGTTCATGGGCAGCATAGCGATACCGCATCTCTATGAAAGAGAGAGAGAGAGAGAGAGAGAGAGAAGGAAGGGAGGGAGGGAGGGTGGGAAGGGAGGAGAAGAAAAAAAAGAGAGAAGGAAAGAAAGAAAGAAGTTGGAAGGCACATTTCAGCTTGGTTGGCATTCTGGAGTTATCCAGCACATGCTGTCATTTCCTTAGTGATTCTGCGGAAGAACGAAGCTCCATGGATAAGGTCAGGCTGGCAGCCTCTTCCAAATACTGGTTGTCCCAAAACTCACCAACATATTTGCTCTCAAATATTTCCTTTACCCTTGGGCTCTGGGAAATTTCCACTGGGAAGAACGAGGAAGTCATACATTCTTGTATCACTCAGGATTTATTCAACAAATACCTATTCAGTACCAACTATGGGCATGGCACAGGGAGAGGCAATGTTGAGGAAGGGCGAGGAATCATAAGGTCCCTGCTGTGCAGAAATTTTCGGTGTGCGCAAAACAGGGCTCAGTGGGAGAATTAAGGCCTCACTGTCATTTAAAGTGGAGTCTTGCTGCAGAGGCCCCTCCTATGGGTGTGCCATCCTGGTACTGTCCCTGGCTTCTCAAGACGATCCTCCCACGGTTTGTGTCCATGCCATCAACCTGCCTTCCCTCATCCCATTTCTGTAAGAGAAGGGGCAGCTTCTTTGTGCTGTACGTTCTCTCTAAACCACAAAAAAATCCTGCAAGGCAGCCAGAGCTTTCCTTCAGGCAATATGTATCCATAGTTTTTACTAGATGCTGGATACCCAGTGAGGAACAGCACACACCTTTGCTCCCCAGGAGCTCATACATGGAAATATATGACTGCATGAGAAAATACAACTACGACCATTGCTAGTATACTTTGTATAAATATGGAGTTTCCTCCATAATGAGAGCTCAGAGCTGTCACAGGCAAAACAAGGGGGCAGGCACTGTGATTTGAGGGATTTTAGAAGGCCAGTTGACACCAAATCTCTCTCTCATGCCCACTGTCACTGCCACAAGTCCATTTCTTTGGGCGAAGTATTGCCTTCTCCCTCTTCTGTTTTTTAAAATTATTATTGTTATTTGTATTATTTTTAATTGAGACAGGGTCTTAGTAACCAAGGCTAGAGTGCAGTGGCACAATCGTAGCTCATTGCAGCCTCCAACTTCTGGGCATAAAGGATCCTCCTGCCTCAGTCTTAGTGCATACCACTGCATCTGACTGAGTTTTCAATTTTTTAGTAGAAATGGGGTCTCACTACTAGTTCAAGAAGACAGGCTGGTCTTGAACTATTGGCCTCAAGCGTCCTCCTGCCTCAGCCTCCCAAAGCGCTGGGATTATAAGCATGAGTCGCCGCTCCTGGACTGTCTTCATTTTTAGAATTGAAATCCTCCCTGGGAAGGATAGAACAAATTTCCAAACTCCATAGTCCAAGCATTCATTTATTCATTCCGTCACCAAATGTTTACAGAGTTGTTCTATGTTCAAGTCCTTTGCAGAAGTTGTCCTTTTTACCACTTAATGTCAACCTCAGCAAGTGGAGAACATAGAGGGGCCAGGGTGTGGGGTTGTCCAGGGCTGCAGGGTCAGGAAGGGCAGCAGGGCGATTAGTGTCCCCACGTGTCCAGTGCTAAAGCTATCATCAGGTCACCCTGCTGCCCTTTCAACTCAACCTTGCTGAAAAATGGCTCTGCTCTGGAGCCCAAAAAAGGATCCAGTGCTCTGGGCCCTGGTGAGCAGCAGGAAGGATGTTGATGGATCTC